CTCACTTCTTGCATCTGAAGACGTGAGGTTCTTACCCACGAAAGCTTATGCTCCCAATACTTCTGTTAGTCTCAAAGGTGCCACAGGACCCTCTGTTGCTTGTGCCAAGTGGTAGATGAGTTAATGCCTGGCAGAGTGAAGTGCAACCATTAAAGGGTTTGTGTGTGACAGTTTGTAATAGACAAATATTAAACGTGTGTTTTAATATCACTATCCCACTTTGGGTATCCCTGTATTAGAGGTGACAGAGTATACGAAACTTATCTCATCTATCTAGCCCATTACCCGGATATCTGAGCATGCAGGGGGAAGCCATAGTTGGGCTTCCAACGCTCTGGTGGGGTGAGTAGCTAATGCTATCTTAAATGTCTAAAGTACTTCTGTGTGCACCAATCACCAGTGTATCTGAGCACCTCACTATCTTTAATATATTTATCCTTGCAACACCCTGTGAGGTAGAGCAGTGCCATTATCCCCATGTAACAAATGGGGGAACTGAGGCAATAGGATCTAAAAGACTTGGCTAAGGTCACTTAGGAAGTCTGTAGTGAAGCAGGGAACTGAATCCTGGTCTCCCAAGGCCCCAGTTTGTGCCCTATCCATTGGCCCATGTTGGCAGCATGTATCATGTCAGGAGGGCAAGGTTGGGTTGGGAAGGTTGCTGCCACCACCATGCTTCCCTCCACTCCTGTGAACCAAACAGTGCCAGGATGGCTGCTGTGTGGGTGGGGCATCAATTACATGTTTCAAAGGTGGAACTAGGCGCATCGCTCACCACATTGTACCCAGCACTCAGGAGGTATAATGCTACAGATGTTTCACCCAGGCATTGCTGCACAGGCCATAAACTACCTCCTCTCCCCAGCAAAGCCATGCCTCTTAAAAGGTATAATTTAGCCATTTATATTTCTACCATCCCAGTCCATAATTTTGATATAATTCAAGCCCAAATTCTTTGGGTGGCAAAGGAAAGCTTCAGCAGAAGAAGGAGTTATATTACTTATCTCCTTACCTTCCTAATGATTCATATAATGTCTGGAGGAATCCTAGTTTTCCTTTAGTATTTTTCCTCTGTTCTCTAGCTGTGTCTGTAAAATCCCAAGCACGTTCATTTTAATATAAATGTAACTCTCACCTGAGAAACATGCACAGCTCCAGAAGTATAATTTGTAAGGTTGGATCCCTGCCTTTTGTAGAAGTGTGGAATGTCATTGCTGTGGCAATGCTGTCAAAGTTACTAAGCAGTTACAGCTGCTCAGTGCTTCTGTCCTTGGAGCTCCAGTGTTATCAGCACTAGCAGAGAGCACAGCTTGCTCATTCAGCAGACCTCAATGTTACTCAGAGAGAAAGACCACAGACACAGTTCAGTGACAAAGGCACTCAGCCAGGTTTATTGCCCTCAAAGCACAGTCCTAATGACTCGCACAACTTGAACAAATACATTAACACATGAGTGCCCTGCGGCAAGGAGCAGTTCAGCCAGCCGTGGGAGTCTCTGCTGTCCCCATGGCCACGCAAAGGGCTAAGAAAAGGTACCTTGACAGTTACAGACTCAGGCAAACAACTGGGATTAACAAGTTATGTGTTGCCTTACATGTTTCATGACATGTTTGTTACCTCCCCTTGCACCCAGTTCTTAATATTTCAGACCAAACATTCCTATTATTCTGTAAACCATTGTGACAAAGTTCCTCCTCTATCTTGGTGGGTCCTGCACTTATTGGCAGATTTTCTTGCCTCAGAGATTCACCATGTGGGTTGGGGAACAGCCCAGAGACCTTCCCCTCTGGAAGAACCCACAGTCCAGGTCAATTGGGAGGTTTGGGGGGAACCCGGGCCCACCCTCTATTCCGGGTTCCAGCCCAGGGCCCTGTGGACTGCAGCTGTCCATAGTGCCTCCTGTAACAGCTGCAACTCCCTGGGCTACTTCCCCATGGCCTCCTCCAAACACCTTCCTTATTCTCACCACAGGACCTTCCTCCTGGTGTCTGATAACACTTGTGCTCCTCAGTCCTCCAGCAGCACACTCTCAGCTCCTTGCGCCTCTTGCTCCCAGCTCCTCACACTCTCATCACAAACTAAAGTGAGCTCCTTTTAAAACCGATTAGCCTGGCTTAATTGATTCTAGCATCTTCTTCTTAATTGGTTCCAGGTGTCCTAATTAGCCTGCCTGCCTTAACTGGTTCTAGCAGGTTCCTGATTACTCTAGTGCAGCCCCTTCTCTGGTCACTCAGGAAACAGAAAACTACTCATCCAGTGACCAGTATATTTGCCCTCTACCAGACTCCTGTACCCCACTGGTCTGGGTCTGTCACACAATCTTATCTTGTACTAGAATGTGGTGTGTCTGTACTAACCTTCTGAAATATATTTACGTAATATATCTAGTGCCTGGTACACTAGCAGCAACTTTGCCAAGTTTATGTACCGAACAGTGAACTTGTGTCAGCTTTAATACATGGCCTGACTTTGGTTCACAGCCTCTGGTTCAGGCCTCAGGTCCTGTATTCCAGGCTCTCTGTACTACATCTTTGATGGAGGACTGTAATGGGGTTCACTCACTGCAAGAACTCCTCTTCCTGGCCAGGCATGGCATAGTGGCTTTCTTCCCATATGGCGGCCCCTGCCGATAGTCAATCCATGGCTGCAATGGTCTCTCTTTCCATAATTCACAGTGCTCCCTCTTTGCAATTTAGCCTTGCGGAAAGATCACTTATATAATCTGCCCCCTTCCAGTGTATCAGAGTCTCACCAGACCAGAGTCTCACCAGACCTCCAACAGTGCTGTGTCATTTCCCAGTGACTGTTAGAGGAACTCAGGCTCCTCCTCTCCCCCCGCTTTCTTATTGTTTCCCTGGGCTTCTTCCTACCTAGGCTTCTCAGGCTCTTTCCCCACAACTCCTCCAGTTGATCCTGCTTCCCAGGGCTTATTCTCCCACCTGGGTTTCCCCCTCCTCCCTGCTCTCAGAGAGTGACTACAGACTCTCTCCTTGTGGCCTCCTGCTACTAAAAACTTCCTCTCTTTATATTTCTTATCCAGCTTCTCCCCCAGCTGGGCATCACCAGCCATTAGTATTCATAAATCCCTCAGCCTCCCTTTAGGTGCAACTATGAAGATTAATTGGCCCCTTCTGGGGCTTCCTTAACCCCTTCAGGGCCAGTGTGGGGTGAACACCCCATCATAATGACTTTTTTCATTTGACAAGTGGATTTTCAAAAGCAAGATGTTGCTCATGTATGATGCTGTCATGGACAAACATGAAATACCCTTAATGTTGGGAGTGCCCCCTGCAGTTTATAATTCTGCAGTATTGATAGGCCACTTGTATTTAAGATTGCATTGAAACGAGGGCTTGTGTAACACACAGAATGTGGCTGAAAATAGCGTTGGTGTGATTGAATTGCAAATGCAACTATTTAATTTCTCTCCAAAGCCCCCACAATTTCTCCTACCCTCAAGTAGTATCAGGAGTGCCAGGTGGGTTGCAGAACCTCCACTCTAGTGACAAAGGGATCTATTGTTGGAATGCTTCAAGCTAATTCAAACTCCTGAAGGGAAAACAAAGTAAAAATGCTTGTGGAATATCAGCCTTTGATCCGCTTTGTGATGGCCTATAACATGCTCTACAAGTTGAGAGAAGCCTGTTGATTTTGACTGCTGTTTCAGTGTCTTTTCTGTTTGTTCGTTGGTTTGTTTCCTGTAGAGGAGTGCTTAAATACCAGACTAACCTAGAGGAGCACCCTCCTGGCTGCTTTCATCCCAACACAACTCTCCAAGAGGATATTCCAGTGCCAGGGATTTTTGAAGAGCCTTTTCCTGAATATGCTCCCGAGCCTTTCCCAGCAGAACCAGAACCATTTGTACAAAATAACGTTGTGAGAATTTGCACCGAGGAACCCAAGTTCCAGTCGCACTTCCCAGAGGTCTGTATGATCCAATGTTTCCGGTTTTACAGGCAATGCCAAGTCTTTCAGTCAGCCACAACCACTAATTATTACTTCTCTGGACAAGAAGTTTCAATAATGGAAAATATTATTAAAACCTTTTCAGGCATCCATAGATTTGGTGGCATGAAACAATCTGTATTAAATTCTTAGAGCACAATACAGAATGGTGAACAGTGTACAGTGGGAAGAACAGGAGTACTTGTGGCACCTTAGAGACTAACAAATTTATTAGAGCATAAGCTTTCGTGGACTACAGCCCACTTCTACAGTGGGGAAAATTTTAGGGACCTTTGAGGAGCATTTTGAGACTTTAGCTTAATTGAAACAATTAACCTCCACTTGTACTCATTTTAATCATATACATGCAAGTTTGATTACACATTACTTAGGTGTAATTGTTATCAAAATATAGATTTGGCTTCGTAGTAGAAATTAGATAATCCGTGTAACTATTTCATTATTGTTGTTATTGCTGTTATTTATATTACAGTAGAGCCCAGAGTCCCGTATCAGCATTAGAGCCCCATTGTACTGAACACCATACAAAACATAAGAAGAGACAGTTCTCGCTGAAGATCTTATAAACTAAGACCATGATCCCGCAACAAACTGCAGGAAGATCCTTTTGTAGAGGGTTGCTGAAGTCAGTGGGTCTCTGTGCATGCAGAGTTTCATCAGCACAGAGCTCTTTGCTGTATTAGGGCTTAACAGAAGACAAAACACCATAGGGGGCCCTAACACACATCAGGAAGTGAAGGGAGGGATAGCTCAGTGGTTTGAGTGGCCTATTAAACCCAGGGTTGTGAGTTTAATCCTTGAGGGGGCCATTTAGGGATCTGGGGCAAAATCAGTACTTGGTCCTGCTAGTGAAGGCAGGGGGCTGGACTCAATGACCTTGCAAGGTCCCTTCCAGTTCTAGGAGATGGGATATCTCTATTAATTATATTATTATTATAATGACTTTTCAAGGTCCCTTCCAATTCTATGAGATAGGTATATCTCCATCTATTTTTTACTGTTAGAAATTAAAGAAATATATGAGTAATCCCTACTGGCCACCTGCGTAGCCACGGTCAGTTGGCAAATCCCATTGACATCATCTGGTTCTTAAGGAGGGATTTGAAGGAGGAGAGGGCAGCGGCTTGACAGGCTATAGTTAGGGAGGGTGATCCATGCAAAAGGGGCTCAAGGGAAGTATTATATGGGAGGTCAGGGCTGGCTTTAGGAAATGCGGGGCCCAATTTGAACATTTTCGGCGGGGCCCCAGCAGGGATGACTAAAAAAAAAAACTGTTCCATAACAATATAAATAATAAAATTATATATTATGTACATTGCGTCATATATGCTGCTGATCGGTTATTAATGAGCTTCATTTCACATGTGTGGGTCCCCGCCACTCCCTGGGGGTGTGCTAGGGTGACCAGATGTCCCAATTTTATAGGGACAGTCCCGATTTTGGGGTCTTTTTCTTATATAGGATCCTATTACCCCCCACCCCATCCCGATTTTTCACACTTGCTGTCTGGTCACCCTAGGGTATGCACATGTGTGGGTCCCAGCTGCTCCCTGCCGCCCCCATTGAAGCAGGTGTGCAGGGTTACTGCCCTGGGAACTGCAGGGCACCAGTGGACATGGGGCTGGCTGGAGGCAGGGCAGGGGCTGACTGGAAGTAGGGTCTGGCTGCAGGCAGGGCAAGGGGTGCGGGGCTGGTTGGAGACAGGGGTATGTGGGGCAGGCTGGCTGGCTTCAGGCAGGGCTGCAGAGTGGTGCGGCAGGCAGGGCCGGCTCTAGGCACCAGCAAACCAATCACGTGCTTGGGGCGGCACATTTTCAGGGGCGGCATACCGGCCATCTTTTTTTTTTGCTTCAGGCGGCAAAAGCCTAGAGCCAGCCCTGGCAGCAGCGCGTCCTGCGTGGGGGTGTCCAGGGGCCGCTGCGGTTCGCGCCGCGGGGAAGCAGCGCTTGCACCTTGTGGCTGGGCCGGGCAGGCTCCGAGCGGGGGACACTCAGGCTGGGGGCCTCCCTGCAGGGCACACGGAGCTGCCTGCAGGTGAGAGCCCAGGGCTGGGGTTGGGGGCAGCCAAAAATGTTTTTGCTTGGGGCGGCAAAAAACAAAGAGCCGGCCCTGGCGGCAGGGGTTGGCAGGGCTGGAGACAGAGGAGTGCGGGACTGGCTGGCTTCAGGCAGGGGAGTGTGGCAGGGGTTGGCTGGAGACAGGGCAGGGGGTGCAGGGCTGGTGCGGGCAGGGGTGTGTGAGAGGCTGGCTGGCTTCGGGCAGGGCCGCAGGGGGGTGCAGCAGGGGTTGGCTGGAGACAGGGCAGGGGGTGCAGGGCTGGTGCGGGCAGGGGTGTGTGAGAGGCTGGCTGGCTTCGGGCAGGGCCGCAGGAGGGTGCAGCAGGGGTTGGCTGTGGGCAGGGCAGCGGGGGTGGGGCTGGTGCGGGCAGGGCTGGAGGCAGGGCGGGGGTGCAGCAGGGGCTGGCTGCGGGCAGGGGGTGCAGGGCTGGCTGGAGACAGGCTGGCTGCGGGCAGGGCAGGGGGTGCGGGGCTGGTGCGGGCTGGGGGTGCAGCAGAGGCAGCTGGAGCCCCAGCCCATTAAATAGCCCCCAAGCCTCCCACTATCCTAGGGCTCTGGGGGCTATTTAAAGGGCCTGGGGCTCCCTCCTTCTACCGCCCCGGCCCTTTAAATAGCCACGGGAGCCCTGGGGAAGCAGCGGGACTCTGGCGGCTATTTAAAGGGCCGGGGCGGTAGAGGCAGCGGGAGCCCCGGACTTTTTAAATAGCCCTCAGAGCCCCGCAGCCCTACCCCAGGGCTCCAGCAGTGGGGCTCTGGTGGCCACATCTCCAGTATTTGTTAAGGGTCCTTTATATTGTTTGTTGCCCAGCTCTTGCAGAGCAGGCATAGTCCCTGGTCTTGCAAAAAGCTTCACCCCTGAAGTCAAGGGGACTCCATGCAGGTGTCAGGAGACACACTGGGAAATGCTGCTTTAGAATGGGTCCGTGTGCCTCCAGGCCAATATGTCTGGTGAACTCTTTTCAATTCTTTCAGTCGGCGCGCTAATATTCAAATGGAAATGAATCTGATGCACCAGGTTTACTTGTATCACCCTGTCTCTGCTCCATGTGTCCTTCAGGGCATCCAAACAGAGTCCGCTCTGGGAGATGAGTTAATATAATCTGTGTATTATATTTGGCGCCAGGTGACATTATTATCTATGTAGCCAGGGGAACCTGGCTGGACTTAGAAGTGCCTTATGCTGTGAGAGCTACTAGGGCTAAAGAAGTCTGCTGCATTTCTAAGCTCTGTGAGCTATTAGACTTGCTAGGGCTGTAGATGTCTGTGGACCATACAAGCTGGTATTTTGAGTGTGAAAATCAGAGAGGAAGGGTGGACGTGTAGCTTAGGCCCTGACTGGTACACAGCAGAGCTGGATTTAGTCCATACCTCTGCCAAGGGCTCCCTAAAGGATGTCTACACAGGTAGCGGCACCAAGCCCCCCAGCCCAGGTTGACAGCCTGGGGCTTGTGGGGTTCGTGCTACCATTTTACAAATAGCTGTATAAATGGCACTTTGAAGTTGTGGTGCGGGCTGGAGCTTGGGCTCTGAAGCCTCCTCCTCCCCCAACTTCACATCTCGAGTTCCAGCCTGAGCCACAATGTCTACACAGCTATTTTTAGGGCAGCAGCGTGAGCCCCGCTAGCCCAAGTCTGTTGAACCAGGCTGGGAGGCTGGCTGCCGCAGACTGTGTAGGCACACACTGTGTGACCGTGGGCAAGTCACTTAATCTCCCTGTGGCCAAATCCCAGCTGTAAACTGGGACTAAGAATGCTTCCTATCTCCCACCCTTTGTCTATTTAGACTGTGAGGGTAAGATTCACAAAATTACTTAGATACCTAAACCCAAGATGTAGGCACCTAAGTCCCAGTTTGTGCTCCACTGCAATCCACGAAACTCCTGCTGAACACCATAGGCACCTAAATTCACTTGGTGGCCACGTTTTTTGCTGTAAAAGTTCCCTCAGCATCTGTGTTTCTGCCTCTGGGCACACGTACTGCTGCATCTTTCTAGATGTCCGGGTGCCTATCTCCTGCCTAAGCCCCAGAGCAATTCACAAACCAGAGAAGGTAGGCAGATGAACATCTATGTTGTGTGCCAGGCCCAGTTCAATCGCTGAGCTCAGAGGCAAGTCCATACAAAACAGCTGGGGTGAAGAAGGGAAGGAGAACTTCCTTTATAACTTTGAATTTAGTGGTAAGGGTATTCGCCTGGGATGTGAGAAACCTGTGATTCAAGCTCCCCTCTGCCTGATGAGGAGAAGGGATTTGAACAGGGCTCTAGCACCTCTCAGACGAGTGCTCTAACTGCGGGGCTATGGAACATGCTGATGTGGGAATCTCTCCTATTGAAGTTGTTCCACTTTAATTAAAGAACTGAATAATTCAATATTTATTGGGCCAGAGAAAGATTTAGAATGACTCTGTAGCTTAGTGTTTAGGACAGTCACCTCCTCCTCCTCCATTGGGACTACTTGCAAAGTAAAGCGATGTCTACATTTATGGCGGCATGTCAGAGTACAGACATTGCATGCTCAGCTAGCATGCTGAGGCGAGTAGAGTAGTGTAGAGTGCCCGACCTGCCTGAACCCCCAGGGTATATACTCTACACGGCTCTCACCAAGCAGTGCCTCCCGTGACTACCCTGCTATTTTTAGCAGTGTAGTGTCTTACTGCCTCATTGGAGCCTTTCACGTGACATGGAGAATCATAGAACCATAAGGTTAAACGCGAGGGTTATCTAGTCTAATCCGCACATTTTGATCTACACACGGCAGTGGCACGTGTGGACACAGCCGTCTCTTCACTGCAGCCTGTAGCTATATGTGTAGTGCCTGTATTTCAGATGCCTAAGACATTAGTCAACAGGTAGACTAAACAGGTAGTCAAAGGATGGTAGAACTAGGCTGTGTAAGGAGTCACGTTATTTTGAAATCAAAAAAGAAAAATATTCCTTGGAGTAATATTTTTGTTTTTCTTCTGCAGACTTGGCTTTGGATTTCTGGACCTTTGTGCTTATATTGTGCAGAAAGGCTCTACCGCTATATTCGCAGTTATAAACCAGTCACGATAACTTCAGTGATAAGCCATCCCTCTAATGTCCTTGAACTACGAATGAGGAAAGAAAACTTTAAAGCAAGGCCTGGTCAGGTGAGTTGATTCACAGCACATAAAACTACAGCTTCTCTTATACAAGGGTTGAGGGATGCTTTTAACTTTGAGGTATTGTTAGTAGCAGCTATGACCGAACGTTTTGAACATATCTTTTTTTACCATTCATTTTTCTCTGGGTGATTTATTTCAGTACATTATTCTACACTGTCCAAGAGTGTCAGCATTAGAAAGCCATCCATTTACGCTCACAATGGTAAGAAATCCATTTACTTTGAGTTAATGCATTTTAAGTAGTTTCTTATTTATTTGGTTTTGATGAGTGAGTGTTCTCTCTCATTCACAGTGAAAATTCCTTGTATAAGAGCTTCTGGTTCACTTAAGAGGCTACCTGTGAATATAAAGTGATGTGATTGTTATGTCTCTCAGCACTTTATTTAATTTTGTCTACTGTTGAGAAAATGATAATAGGAACCTATTTTCTAACTTCCATTAGTGGAAAATAATAATAATAATAAAAAATCCATTCTATTTTGCTCATTCAAATATAAACAAAATAGCACTGAAAATCTTTATGTGGAATTAGGCACAAACTTTCATTTTGTCTGGTGAAATAAACTTTAACAAAGATATTGCGTCAGTTTCTTTTAGTTTAGTCCATTAGTAAGTTCTTTTTTCAGTCTTCTACTATGTTTGTGATTTGTTGTGAAGTTTACCAGTGATGTAGAACCAGTGAGATGGAACAGTTGGAGAGTATGGGCCTATTTCGACTTCTTATGATGACTGATTTACCCCATTGTAAGTGTGAAAAGACCAGAATCAGACCCATTTCATTTAAATATGAAATATCTTTTGATTGTTCTCCCTGTATTGAAATTGACAGAAATAAAAACGAATAGGATTCATTAGTAATATTTGCACAGTGCCTGCAAGATGCAAAGCACTATATAAATGCTAGTTCTTATTAAATTAGCCCACTCTCTGAAACAATCTTTTATGGCCAATGTGATGTGAGGTTCCAGAATAACAACGGCAGCTAGCATGAAATCGACCATTATAATTAAGGACATTTGTCCAGATCCTGCAGATTTTACTATGGCAAATCTTTGAATTGACTCCTATGGGAATTTTGCCAGAGGAAAGACTGCAGAGGTGGGCTCAGTGGCATAAACTGACATAAGTTCATTCACATCAAGTTGATTGGACTAGTTGAGGATCTGGCCTGTTATTTGGAAAAGTCTATTACAGTGATGGCATCCATTGCAAGAAGCAAATCTCAAGATTGGGTGAGACAGATATAGTTTCTCAGTCAACGTAAATAATTCATTTATATTCGAATACAGTGTTATGTATTTTCTGCTGAGTACAAATATCTAGTTGATAGATTAGTTTAGATCTGTAGCAGAAGAGATGGTAAAGTAACTTTCTCTTATGTACAATGCATTCTATACTAAAGTAGGGTGATATTAACAGCCTATAGGATAGGGCCATCAATGTCTATTAGCCAAGATGGTCAGGGATGCAATCCCATGTGCTGGGAGTCCCTAAGCCTGTAACTGTCAGATGTTGGGACTGAACGAGAGGGGATGGATCACTCGATAATTGCCCTGTTCTGTTCATTCGCTTGGAATCATCTGGGACTGGCCCCTGTCAAAAGACAGGACACTGGGCTAGATGGTCCATTGGTCTGACCCAGTGTGGCTGTTCTTATGTAACATAGTATATACTGCTTTAAATATTCCTTCATATTAAATTGCTATTTTGACATTAGCTCTGATTTTTATTGCCCCAAATGTATTTCAGTAACACTTTAATTACACTAGAGTAGATGCTATTACTGGGTGGTTTATTGGATAGCAAGGACTTGAAACATCTAGACTTATAATAGTCTTCTCTGTCCAGCTTAGGCAGGGGACAGTAGTTTCCAGATGTCTTTCTAGGTCATTATTCTGCCTTGGGCTGCTTCTTTGCTTAGAAAGCTTTTTTTCACTGCAGTATAATGCTAGACATGGGACGAGGCTTAAGGGTATGTAGGCAATATCTTGACTCAGTATTTTTCCCCCTGCTCCTGTCTGACCTACTTGTAGGTACCAAGCATTAATGATTTCAGTGTGAGTTTTGCCAACTTTTCTTATTCTTTTACGTAATAATAATCTCTTCTTGTTGTTATTTTATAGTGTGCATGGTGCTTAATAGACAAGTAAAAGTGGTAGACCTGGGAGCTTACAATGTCAGTATTGGACATAATGCAGCAAGCAATGCCATTAGACAAAGGCTGGAGGGAAGGGGAGTATAGGCACAGAAGGAGGGCTATGCATCTTTATTAGTCCCTCTTTAAAAAACAAACAAACAAAAAAAGGTTTAATATGTTGCTGCTTGGATTAGTGCCTGGTATTAAGTAAGGCTGGGGTGGAAGCCCAATACCTGCTCCCATTGAAGCCTCTAGCAGAACTCCAACCTGTCTCTGTGTACACTAAATCTCAGCCAAGCGAGGTAAATAAGATGGCATTTTGTAAAGAGGCGGAGTAATTTGTGCAATTTAATAGTCCTCTCCCTCCCCGTCCCCCCCAGTGGAAGGGGTAAGGCGTGAAACTCGTACGTGGATTTGGAAAGGCAAAATCCATATCACTACCGAGGGCTCAGAGCTGCTCCCCTGCCTACCTCTACTGTGGCTGCTATTTTACCCTCTAAGCTGGATCGGCAGTCAAAGGCCTCAGTGCCACTTGTGCACCTTGTTGAAATCACTGGATCCATGCAGGCACTGATCCTGTGGATCTTCCTCCAGCCTGCTCCAATGACTGAAACGTTTTGCTACTTGAAAACACATTTTTCTTTTCTAATATGAAAATTCCATTCATTTTTATCCATTCTTTCATTTTGTCTTGCTCAAAATGTATAGTTTCCAGAGGGGTGGGAAAGAGGCTGCCCAGCTTCTGCAGTCCCCTGGAGGAATCCTGCTGGTCAGCTCAGCAAATTCTTTTGGGGGCTCCCAGGTAGCTCACAATAGAATAGACGTTGCACCATCCTTGAATAGGGTACATCGCCCTCCCCGTTGCCTCTCAGCTACCTTGGTACAACTTTTGTCAATATGCTCTCTATTAAGCAGATTTAAGAATATTTATTTTCCTAGGTCCCTTTCAGAGCATCGAACAGTCACTCCCAAAGTGCTGTTTGGTATGGCATTCAAAAACTCTTCTGCTTGGACCCTTGTGTGCCCGATTTCCTTACTTTAGATGAGTATTTCCTATCACTTTTCAGAACAAAACCCTGGTGGAGTAAAACAAAATAAACATGGATTCTTTCCTTTATTGCAGCCTGTGTGCCAAGGCTTCTGAACTCCCACAGGGCCTTGTCCAGAGCTCATTCAGATCAATGGGAAACTTTCCACTTACTGCAAGGGGCTTTGGATCAGGCGACAGGCTTATTATGCACTTTAATAGGGGGGTTACCTAACAAGGTAACAAAAATGTTCAAGGCATTTTACTTTTTTTTGTTGGCAAGGATATTTAAAAAAAAATGTATATCACTTACTTTTAATTAGGATATGAGATGTTTCTCTCTCTGTGTTACACAGATTAATCTCGTGAGTCCTATATTTCTGTGTAAATATATGTTTTTGGCCAAGATTTTCAAAAGGGGCTAGAGATTTCTGGATGCCTCCATTTTAGGGTGTCCAATTTAAAATTCCTTAAAGGGACCTGATTTTCAGAGGGCTGATGCTCAGAATACTATGAAAATCAGGCCCATTTAAGGTGTCGCAAGTTGGGAACCTCAGAATTGAGGCACCCCAAATCAGTAGTCACATCTGGAAATCGTGCCATTAGTCCCCAGGACATCTCTCTACATGTGTTAATTGCTCAGCAGTTTCTCTGTGGTTGGGAGGGTGGAATTTATGCATTCTGTCATGCAGTTTAATGCTTAACGCCTGGAGCCATCTCTTAAGGCTCTTCAGTAATAGCAAACATCAACAATTATGTTTGTTTCCAACACAATAGTGCTGGTCCTGTAAAAGTTCAGTTTAGATTTCCAAAGCGTTGCTTTCACTCTTTTTGGTACCATCGGATCAAAATTCTCCTCCCCTTTCTTTCCCCCTTCCAAAAAAAAAAAGACACATTTATGGGGCTGATCCTCTCATTTACACCAGTTTTAACATGATTCAACTCCACTGTTGTCAGCAAAGTTGCTTTTGATTTTAACTACGCGAGTGAGAGGAGAATCAGGGCCAATAGTTTATATGGAGAGTTTTGTAGAAATCTTTGTCCTTTGTTTCTTTCAGTCTCAGTTCTAGATCTTCCACTCAGGGTTATTGAATTTCCTCATTTTATAGATGCTTAACCACAAAGATGATTATTTGCTAACAGCATGAAACCACAATACTAGTAATTTATGGTTGCACATGTTTCCTTTTTACCAATGAATGACTTCAGAAGAGGGATTCCTATTTAAAATATTCATTGCAATATTAGAAGAGAAGTAGCTTTTTATGTAATACGTTGGCATCACTTCTTGTGTTGGCACGTGGTGCTTGGCTCTATGTCTTGAGGCATACAGCCTTACATTTTGCAAATGTAAAGAGCTGTAGAAGATACAGGGTCCTTTCATGTGGTCTCAGTTAAACCCACTAAGGAATCAAAGCAAGCCACAGTCTTTTACAAGCTACAATATGTAGCTTGGCTAATAAATAAACTTGCATCTACCCTAAATATCATTAAGTATATTGTATGGGGTAGCTGTGCTAATTTAATTATGTTGACTTTCTTGGGCCTGGTCCACACTAACCCCCCACTTCGAACTAAGGTACGCAAATTCAGCTACGTTAATAAAGTAGCTGAATTCGAAGTACCTTAGTTCGAACTTACCGCGGGTCCAGACGCGGCAGGCAGGCTCCCCCATCGATGCCGCATACTCCTCTCGCCGAGCTGGAGTACTGGCGTCGACGGCGAGCACTTCCGGGATTGATCCCAGAAGATCGATTGCTTACCGCCGGACCCGGAGGTAAGTGTAGACCTACCCTTGTGGAGGTGCGATGTAGCTTATTTTTACAGGACTAAAAATATGTGCATCATTTTGGTATGTCTTCACATGGAGTGTTGACTGTGTTAAGCTTTATCCTGCACCAGGATCAGTCACTGAAAACCAAACTTCAGTTGTGGATCTGCGCTAAAGGTTGGAGTGGTTCAGATCTGAGGTTTTGATTCAGGCTATTATAGAGGTGTGAGCCAGCCACAAGGTTTGGATCAGGGCAGAACTTTCCAA